GAATTAAAAAATTCTGTTAAAAAGATATTCTTTTTATGACATCCTGTATGTCTGCTTGTTATCTCGCAGGTAAGTAGCAACAAGAAATGAAAAAAGGAATATGAGCGCTTACTTAAACGTTACTAGAAGAAAAATTTATACATATATAATAGGAATCTAAAGTAAATAAATGCAACAAAATTTTAATATATTACATGAATATATTAATATGAATATATTAATTAACATCGACAATCTAAATATATAAGATTTAATGAATAATTTTGAACATATTTTTGTTCTCTAATAGTATTATAAAAATTTGTATTATAAAAGAAATGGAATATTTATAATTAAGCGTTAGAATTGGTAAATTATATTTAGAGAATCTTACTCAATAAATCTAGCAATTATTTAATACTTTTAATCAATAAATAATGAATATACAATATCAACTAACACGTTTCTTTCAAATATACTTCCATTTATCAAAGACAGATATAAATTAAATTATTTTATAATAGTCTTCTTGATAAAAACGCTATTTAATTAGTTCAGCAAAGAAATAATTTCCATTGAAGTAATAATAAAGAAATTTGTTTTAACTTTAGCATGTAATTTTTAAAAAATCATAGGACGATCATCTGAAATAATTATTACATTTTGATTGACAAAAATTTTTAATAATTTGTTTGATATATATATAAGTAATTTTTAAAAATTGCAAAAAATTGCATGTTATTTATTTATTATTGCATGTTATGTATTTATTAAGAAATATAATAAAAATATTACCTGCTGCCAAATATATTTTTAAATGTAAACTTTTCCGTCTTTAGTTATTTGTTGAAGATAGTAACTGTGCATATCTGCAACTATCAGTCGTGAAGGCTAATCTCTGAATATATCAAATCGACAAAGTAATGCATTTTTTGCGTTTATTGTAATGCTATTGCAGTGCCTATTAATATAATCTTCGGCACGTCAATGACAAACGCTATTTTCACATGATACTTGCGTATTTCTTAAAGTCACTCTAATAGATTTGTTGAGAAGTGATTTCTCTTTCGTGACACAAACGCTTTTAAAAATGTGATAGTCATGCGTATAAGCTAATAACAGAATACTAGGTATTATTAAATATAGATCTGTATTCATTTATTTGAATGCAGTCAATACTTTAAAAACTATACTCTTATATCTGTCATTTTTTAAATCCTTTTTTAAATATTAATAGAAAAATTATTTTTGATATAATCAATGCAATTAGTCAAGCAAATAAGAATTAATACTAATTAATATATTTGGACATAATAAATTATTAAAATTGTAACGATAGACATCTCGCATATTAGATGTGTTTACTTTATATCATATCAACTTTTCTATTTATATATATATATATATATTTTCATAATTATTATGCTATTATCAATATGCTCGTATAAATTTGAGTCATTCATTGCTGAATTACATGTTTCTTATTTTTGCTGATTGACAAAACTATGTGATATTTCAGTGCCTATCAAATAGAATTTTAGCATACATTCCTCATCAGTCATTATGAAAATGATATAGGTGAGTTGAAACGTATTCAGCGCTGTCACGCTATACACTCCATTGCTGTTTCATCGTTTCGACACGGTTTAAAAGGTCTTTTATATGTGAATGCTGATCTCAATCAGTACTGTTCAAGACTCACGTCGAGCCAGTTATCAAACAGAATTCTTCCATTATATTCATAAGATAGCTCCAAGGTATATCCAAGGTAAAATCCGAGAATTCATTAGAACGCATTCGATTTTATTCGTAATCGTTAATAAACTAATATTATTTATTGTGCTAATTATATACAATTACATAAGTTATAATCCGTGCTTATAATACAATTAATGTAAAATTTCAGAAATCATCGTACTTTAATTTAATTGAGAAGTACAATGATTTTATATACATTTTATACATGATTTAAAAACAACTTAACTTTTAAAGGGCATAATTAACAGGGCATTCAAATAATTTTTATAATGCATTTAATAAGTTACTTTTGAATTTTAAATACGATACAACGCTCAATACACTGCTGGAATTTATTAAAATTATTAATTTCAGTCTCTCCGTAGGAATTTAAGTTCAAAGTGAAACAATGGCTTCAATAAAATTAGTACCATTCGAGGAAGAATTGAAGAAAAATCCCGAATTGAAAGAGGCAGATATACAAATGTTGAGAGAATGGTGTGAGAAGCAGCCTCATCTACCAAAGATATCGGACAGCGAATTGGCGTTGTTCTTACATAGCAATTATTATCGACTCGAACCAACAAAAAGTACCATTGATACTTTCTTCACGGTCAGAACTCACGTACCTGAGTTCTTCTGCAATCGAGATCTTAACAACAAGGAGCTCAAAAAGGCAGCACAAACGGTGTAAGTATATTTACAATATTTTTCATTTTTTTGTTAACTGTTGTTCACATTCGCAGAATTGACAAATAGATATAGAGAAATTTCGGATATAAAATAGAAACAATTTTATTGTTGACAGAACAGATCAGATTTTGGAAGGAACCACTAGAGAAGGCTATAAAATCATTTATGGAAGACTTCTAGATAATGATCCATCGCATTTCGTTTACAACGATGCCATGAAATTATTAAATATGGTGATCGATCTATGGCTTTACACGGAGGGCACTTGCGAAGGCCACGTAATATTATTCGATATGAAAAATGTTTCTTTCGGTCATGTTGGCCGTTTAAGCCCTATGGGACTAAAAAAGTTCCTCTATTATTTGCAAGATGGATTGCCTGTTAGGTTGAAGGGTTTCCATTTCATGAATGCTTCTCCGATAATAGATACCATTTTGAATATGATGAGACCTTTTATGAAAAAGCAGTTGATGGATATGGTAAGGTTATAATCATTGCATATAAAATTGGTTAATTACTCAAAACTTTAATTAAATAAAAACTTTAACTAAAAAATTTTTTATTCAACATTGTTAAAAGTAAAAAAGTAAAAAATAAAGTTATGTGTAACTATTTGATATAAATTATTTTAGAACTACATCTTTTAAAAAAATCATATAATTTTAAATATGTCATTAATGTTATATTGTTTTCTTTTTGCATTATTCTTTCCCTTTCAGACAATTGAGATATTTTATTTTATTTTTTTATATAATATGTATACGGAAAGAACATTTTTGCTGGCAAATCTAAAAATTTGACCGAATACAGATCTGCAAATAATTTTGTTGGCCCATCAAAATTATTTTGTAGAACACTTAAATATGATGATAATACTGCAAAAATTTTATCTTCTAACAATCAATTTGAACATTATATATAATAATTTTGAACAAAATTCGTTTTCAGATCTGTATCTAGTCAAATTTTTAGATTTGCCAACAAAAGTGTTCTTTCCATGTATCTTTTATTTATATTTCTTTTCTCGGAAAAAATGTTAAAAATAGAAAATATAAAAATGTGGTGCAAAAAACATAAAGATCCTTAAAATATATTTCTATAAATTCCAGTTTCATATGCATACCACAAATGACACTTTGGAGAAATTCGTACCGCTCGAAGTTCTCCCGAATGAATCAGGCGGTCAAGCCGGTCCCATACAGGAATTACATGACAAACAAATAAAAAAATTGGTAGATCACATTGCTTGGTTCCAAGAGGAAGAAGCTAATCATCGCGTCAACGAATCTCTGCGACCGGGCAAGGCAAAGACAGCAACAGATTTGTTTGGCGTCGAAGGAAGCTTTAAGAAGCTTGAAATTGATTAATCTATCAGATATTTTACTTTATTAACGCTCTATTAATTTTGCTCTATTAATTATTATTTGCTCTATATACATTTGTGTTATTTTAAGAATAGTTATGAAAATGTCAATTTTCGAAAACAGTTTATTTCAATTTATTAATACTAGATATTGATCAATTTTAACAGTATTAAATATAATATAGTGATAACAACTATGTCAATTGTTTGTTAAATTAAGTATACAATAGATGTATTACAATTTGCATGCACAAGTCAAAAATTTAATTATATTAATCTTATAAATTCATTTTTATTTGCATATTAATATATAATATTTTCGTTCGATAATCAAATGTAACTAATCCTAATATTTAGTAAGGTAGATTATGGGGATGTGATAGAATTTTAAATACATTTTAAAGGATTATTTAACAAGAGATTGTAAAAGAAATATTGCGATTTTTTTTTATTCCAATAAATAAAAGAGAAATAAAACATTTCTTGTTATTGTAAATCTAATTTATTTTGCATCAGCACACAATATATTAATATTTGTAAATAATCCATTATTTAATTTGAATGTTAAATGTATAAATATGAGTCATATAGAAACTGTTTCGGTGTGGAGAAACCTTTACAATATCTCCTTTTCGACAGTTTCTTATAATACTTTCACCATCAAGCTATCGTCGCAGTAAACGGCAATACGTGCGTGTGAATATATCAGTGAAGCAATCCGGACTTCACAATCTCATAATGAAACACGTAATCGTAAGTACGCATAAGTTTATAGTTAATATACAAATATTTCGAACAAATAATTGTGGATAAATCCACAATTCGATTAATCGATAACTCTGTGAGAAATTTATGTGTATTTAAACTTTGTAGGTGTTTATTTTAATATAGAGTTGCATCAATGTTTTATAATATTTATATAAGAAATTATTTATAAGAAATTATTTATAAAGTGAAATAAGCAAATATAAAAATATCATAGGGCAAATTATCCTGATCAAAAAGTTTCTGATCAAAAATGTATAATAAAGCGTATGACGAAATAACCGGTTGATTACACAACTCGATTGGAATTTTATTGATGCGTAGAAGCGCACATTCTTTATATTATAAAATTCAGTTTCTCATTTAGTTTCAGTAAATTTATTATTATAATAAATTAATTAAATCATCAAAGTTTCTAAGAATTTGTACTTATATTCGAACGATGAGAAAACTAACATAGAATTCAAAATCGATAAAACAATACGTTAAAAACTTCTAAGAATTCTATTCTAATTTAATGTAAAGTCTCATTTCTGAGTTAATCTTAAATTGATTGTATCCTAAAAAATCCTTATATATTTAAGATCTAAGATATTTAATAGATGATGTAATTATTAAATTGTAGATAGTTGCCGCTTTGATTAATGTTTGCTTAACGGATGTATCGCATATTTTACCGGAATATTCGACAACGACACTACCACCATCACCACCGAAACCGTACAGTTTCCAATATGAAGCAGGACGATATCCAGGACATATCGATCGAATTCATCAAGAAACCGGAAATGGAGATGGAATTATTCATGGTAATCATGCCTTTTATAACTATCACTCACCGAAAAATAATCGAAAAACCGAAGATACAGATCTACATATATATCACTCTAAACTTTGCTATTTAAAATCTATATAGGAATTTCAATAATTTTAAAACTTATTAATAGATCCTATTCGAATACTAACGTACTCAGATTATCACAGGTCACAATTTTATCAATCATAAATTTATTTGCATTAAAGATGCGAAATAAAAACAAAATTTGTTATGTATGCAAATTACTCGAATAATTAATTCGAAATAATTAGAAAAGGGATAATATAATCATAATCTACAATCACAATATTTGAACGAATTACATTTCAGGAACATATTCATACATTGATCCAAAATACAAAGTACGAACAGTAGAATATACAGCCGATAAAGATGGATTTCATCCTGCTTTAATCAATTTTGAGGATGCTTTCGCTCAACCTGCTGATTCGGAAGCTGTAAGATTGGCCAAGGAAAAACATTTCCGTCTTTATCACAAGATTGCAGAAGCAAACGCTCATAACATTCCAGTAAATTTGCCGCGAGTAATTATCTTATATATTCATCGATATAGACTAATAAAATTGAGAATTTAAGTTTCAAGTTAAGATAATTTTGAAATCATAAATTCTTAATTGACATGAAATTAAATAAATTAAATCTTGTGTTAACAAAGAAATGACAAGAAAAACGAACGAGCGATTTATTTATTCGAAAGATACATCACTATCCGGGATCTAATTCGATGAGAATAATGTTTTGATTATGCTAAATTACGGATAATTTGTATGTTTTTTCATTGATTTGCCTAATTGTTCTGTAGGATTCAGCAAGCGTGGCAAAAGCGAAGGACAGGCACAATGAATTGTATCACAGAATCGCGGAGCAACATGCGGCGATCGCCGCGCAAAGAGAAGCTGAACGATTGGCTTACGAAGCGACTTCCGTTGCCAATGACGTAGATAATCATCAAACACGTTAATGACATTTTATGCACGTGTCGGCATATACGATTAATGCATACGTTCTAAAAAGAAAATGCGCTCTATTCGAGATATAAATATTGCTTGTTAAAATTCTTCTTGATTTTTTGTTATCAAATTATTCAAATAACATAAAAAATACACTAAATTACAAGTGAAATCATTATTCGTTATATTATGATTAATTTAATTAACAAAATATTTTTAATCGCAAAAATAATATAATATAAAGCAAATGCAAGGTATCGAATGATATGACAATCTTATATAGAGAAGAAGTTATAAAAAGGCTAAATAAAACTAATGAAATCGTTACATAATTCTTTATTACTCAGCATTTTCTGTTATCTCCTAAAGCCAAACAAATAAAAAAGAAAAATAGCGCTAATAATTGTTACACATTGTTTCTTTCTTTCGACGTTTGTTTTTTCGCACACGATGGCCCGTTTATGATGATTACATATACGAGCAACGGTACGGTCAAATTTAAAACTCGTTTCAAAATGCCGGAAGTACTATCGTGCAAATCAAAAAATTTTTTCGATGAAAGATACACGGCACAATCGTGCAATGATGATATAAAAGGAACTATGCCAACATGTATGATATTAGTTCGGACGAACATTCCGGCGAAAAATGAAGATTTTTGGCAAAGTGCTTTACTTCCTCCTTATGTGCATCGTGGTAAGAACATCAAACTCCTCATTATTATTTATGTTATCTATCTGTGTGTCTATTTGTAATAAAATTAGATAGAAATGCGAATTTAATGCTGTGAAAAAATATTATCAAATGCTTTTGTTATTTACTTAGTTTCCTAGGCAACGATGAGCATGAGCATTGGAAAATCTATCCTTGGGATTGATGGACAGCGTAAAGTAGCTTGCCACGGTGGACGACCAATGACAACCACAACACCGGCTAGTACCACTTCTGCATAGATGAAAATCTGCGAATGAGTAAGGAATTTTAAAATGAAATAATCTATACACGGAAGAATTAATCTTATCGGTTTATATATCTCTTTGTAGATTTAAACAATATCAAGTTATTTCTCTTTAAAAAAAGAAATGTATTTTATGTGTCAAGCAAACTTGAATTTACTCGACGTACTCGGCTCGTGTCGAAACATTCATTGCTTGCAATTCTTCATCACTTTGTGTTAGATCGTTAAATTTATCGTTCGTTAGATTTATTTCGCTTTTACATTTCTGTTTTTATATTTATATGCTTTATTTGATATTCGCACATAGATATTTTTCGCGTTTATTAAACATTTATCAAAATTATTATTAAACTTACCTGTACAAAACTCTTCAAACTGCCTTGGACAAAAACGCCATATTAGCGTGTCTTTATGATACGATTAATCGATACTCGATTCTCGATCATGTGGGAGTTAGCATCACCACCAAAGGGCCTGAGGATAATTGAAGAATATTGATATCGACCGTTTTGACTGTACTGAGAATAACGAAGGGAGGATAACATTTATTCATTACTGTTATTATGACGGATTCAATTATAAATTAATAGTTTCTTTTACGAAACTATTAATTTAAACTATTAATTAAAATTTAAACTATTAATTTAAAATTAAACCCATCATAATAACGATAATAAATAAACGTTATCCTCCTCAGTACAGTCAAAATCAACAATATCAACGTTTTTCAATTATCCCCGGGGCCCCGGGGCCCCTTTGGTAGTGACGAAAATTTATTCATGGTGGTCGTGATAAACAAATATCTGGACGCCATATCAAAATTGATGCGGTTGCTTACTATGTGACTTTGTAGATATCTAACATGCGTTTCATAATTCTTTTACATTTTCGTCAGTCGATAAAACTTTTTAATTTTTAATATAATTGCTATATCTTTCATACTTAATAAGTTTATTTTTCAATTCTGTGCACAACATATCCATTATTATATTTAATAATTCAAATAATAAAATTAATTACTTGTTTTAGGCAAGAGACGCCGATGCAGCAAGATGAAAATATTGGGCCGAAATATAAACAAATCTAAAAAAATTACAAACCAGTCTAAAGCTTAAATTTGAAAGTATTATTTTATTAATCATGATTATTATCAGCTTTTTATATTCCAATTCTTTAAAAAATATTTAACACACATATGAATAAAAAAAAATGAAATAAAAATGTATCCATACCTTCCTAGAGATATCAAATATGAAAGTTTCCCTATATTTTAATTTTGAATGTATAAATATATGTAGTATAGTATGTAGTATAAAAGGGACATTGAACAACTTAACATATAAGAATGAATTAAACATTTCGGGGTAATAAATAACCAAATAGTATAAAATTGTATGGACTTTTATTAAATAATCCTGGCAGTTAATATATGTTGCATACTATTCCGTTCATACACATCGTCTCATAATTATTCTTATTTTACATTCTAATATTTATATAAAGCTAAAGAAAAAAAATATTGAAATTGACAAATTATAACTGTACATTATTATTGTCTACCGTATATATAACATATCATTATTCTTCTCATAAATCAATTATATCTTTTATGTATACAGTATATATGTCTACTTGCATAAACTAAAAGGACTTGTAGAGATTCACATTGAAATATCATGGACAAATTCATTACACATAAGGAAGATATTAATATCAAATTCTCTAAAAATTAAATCTAACTCATTTAAACACACAAACAAGTGCTTTGTATAAAAATAAACGTAATAAAAATAACATAGAATTTATAATTATACAAATATACCCATGTATATACAGTTTTGCCAACACTTTTATTTCTTCAATAAATCATATGTTTAGTAAATCAGTATGTATGTTGTATATGTGGCGTGTGTATGGTGTGTGTGTGTGCACGCGCGCGCGCGCATACACACACACACACACACACACTGATAAACCGAAATCAATGTAGAACAATTATTACACATGGTTGTATATGTATGCTTATCACAGTTTCCATCTTAAAAGACTGCAAAAGATTTTGAGAAATAATGAAAATGTCTTCATGTGACACTTGTATGTAAAGATATTGCATTTAGTTTTACAATATCAACAACTGCTCGAATAAAGTTTTTCTTTATCAAACATTATGAATTCTGATAACACCAACATATTCTATTCCATTTTATATAATAATATTGCAAAGATTGCACAATTTCACACATTGTGAAAAACTCTATAAAACACATTGCACAATGTAATAGTACGGCCGACGACACGCCAGAATGATATAAATTAAAGCTAAAGATTTGTTCGCATACATTTGTACTTCATAGAAGTACAATTCACAATTCATTGTAATGTTACAAGTTTCTGATATAACAATCATCGAACTTATTTCTTCAATAAATGCAACATATCTTTATTTTGCTGCTGTAACATTATATCTGCTTTCTCAGTTTTATCAGTAATGTTATCGATCAGATCATTCTGTGAATCTATTTCTTCAGATAAACCAATCGCTAGATGTTTTAATTTTGCCAATGATCCACTCATTTCATTCAGATTCTGCTCGAGAACTTTGGTTACTCTGTCGTTAGTAGGTCTAACATCCTCTAAACCATTGTCGTAATTTCCTCTCATCTTTGTAGACAAATACGAACTGCTCATATCATTTTGTACTTGTTCTAACGTATTGGACAATGCAGGAGATGTCATTGATCCAGAACTAGAAGATTCTGATAGTTTCGTTGATGGTATCGGAGCATCCAAAGATTTTCCACTGAGATAATTCTTCAAACTACCAAATACACTTTTTATACCTTGTATATGTTTCTGACTAAATCTTAATGTGCTGTTAATATCATCTAATCTTTTTTCTGTCCTTTGCAACTGTTCCCTCTGTCTAATTAATTCCTGAAGATATCCATTTAGATGTTAAAAAAAATTTACCATATTATCATTAGTGCTATAAAAGTCACTTTATTTATCAAAAGTAAGTATATTAAACAGACACAAATTTGTGGCATAAATATCCTATCAGTTATTATGCTATCTGCATATTGTTGATGATAACAGAGTGGATATATCGGTATTATAATTACCTCGGCTGTAGCAACACCAATTTGTTCAGAATCTCTCAAAAGCGAGACGGATCTTTCCGAGGACTGTATTGTGCGTTCCTCGATTTCCTTCCTACGTTGTAATAATTGTTGGCATTTTTGTGTAACGTCATTATCGAAATTCTGATAACGCCCCGGAGGTGCAGTTCTGACTGGCGCGTTCCTCAGAAATGTCTCATCATCCACGTCGTCCTCTAATGAAAAGAATGGATTCTTCGGATCGCTCAAATAATTATGACCAGCCATTTATCCGACGGTTTTTTGCGACGGAAACTGTAAATCAGAATTTTTACCGAATTTTTCGTTCGCGACGCTCGCTTACGATCACTCAGCACTCACTGCTCAGCTGGTCGGCTGACGGCTTCAATCGATTAATGGTCGCTGCACACTTGCCGAGTCAACACGTTGGCACGCAGCGGACGCTGGAGACGTGCCACGATGGCCAATCATCTACCTTATCAGTCTATCGTTTCTAGGAAGAAGCTGATTGGTAGAGATACACATTACTCATTGGATGCATTCGACAAAACAAAATGTTCATTGGCTGCGTTCAGCAAAGAAAGCAGCTCAGTGAGCGCTCAGTGATTTTTCAATATGATTGGTTCTTGTCTTTAGATCTTCGTTGAATTTAAGTGTAGAAACCAATCATAATAAAGAATCACTGAACTGCTTACTGATCTGCTTTCTCTGCTGCCTGAACGCAGCCATTGTCACGTTTTATATCAGGGGCGGAATAAAGTCTTGTGTTCACAATAGATTTGTTCTTATTTACACGAGAAGTGTAAAGTCTACACTTTATACTTAACATCATCTCTCAGATACGTGTAAAACAAGTGTAAATTACATCATTAAGGACCTTTTTCACCAAACTTCAGTTAAGCTAACCGACGGTTAATTCGATCATCACGATTGCCAACAATCGAGAAGTAAACTATTTATTATAGATAAGTATTAAAATTTTTGTTTAAGCAAATGATTATTTAATAATTTTTATTTGCATTAATTATCGGATATTACTTACAATTTTATTTATCTACTAAAATACCTACAACATGAAAAAAATATTAGGTTAAAAAACACTACTTTCTAAGCATTGAATTACAGTTGGCACCCCTGCGAGTTAACCGTTAACTTAACTAAAGAAAAAGGCCCTAAAGTATAATACATTTTCCAAGACGAACAGCGTGTAATCACATAACTCAACATCACTTCTGACAAGAAGAACGCTAAAGCTTAATCTACAATGACATAACATAAGGCTATAAGACTATAAGACGTGGTTGTAAAACCTACTTAAATAAATTATTTTCATTTCTTATGCTTAACAACCTTATGTCACAGTATAACTGTGCTGTATAACTGTGACATAGGATTGTTAAGCATAAGAAATAAAAATAATTCATTTAAATAGGTTTTTACAACCACATCTTACAGCCTTATAGCCTTATGTTATGTCATTGTAAACTAAGCTTAAGTCCTGTTCTACAATGCGTCATGTGTCGTGGGCCGTAAGAATAGGCCAATCACGATCAAGTATTCTCTCCACATTCGTCTATGATCAATTCTTATGGCTTGCGGCTTGCAACACCGACATATTGTAGAACAAGCCGAAGTCCCGGTCTACAATAAGTGATATAAGCCTTAAGCCATAAGAAATGGACGAATCATCAGTCAAAGAGTAGGAGAATAATCTATTATGATTGGTCAATTTTTTATGACAAGGCTTAAATTACCTATTGTGAACCAGGATTAAAGTTTACACTTTACATTAAGTCGGAAGCGTCCCGTTTAATCACGTTGCGATTGACCACAGCTACTCATAGCGGCTGGTGCTTAGAAGTTTTCCTCTGTTTAAACACTATGAGTGGTCAATTGCAACATGATCAAACGGGCCTCATTCCATTAAGTCTCGATCTACAATAGATAGTTTAAGCCTTAAGCCATAAGAAACGAATCATAGTTGAAGAATAGAAGAATAATTGACTGTAATTATCAATTTTTCTTAAAGCTTAAGACTTATATCATCTATTGTAGATCGGGACTAAAGTGTACAAAGTGTTATCAAAAAGAACAAACCTAATGTTAGAAATCGATCTAATATCTCGGATGGGGGAAAAATTGATCAATCAGTAGTAGATATTTTGACCAATTGATCAATATGATTGGTTAATTAATCAAATTCAAGTAAAATTGATCAATTCTCTTTTCGTTTTGGACTAATTTATATTCCAAACGATGATAGTTTGGCTTATTTTTTTTCTAAATGTTGGCTGCTATGTAACTAAATCGAGAAGTGTTCCGAAACCATCATAACCTGTAAAGATATTTCATTTGGAAATTCAAGACCATAATAATTCAGGATATTTCTGTTTCTGCTTAATCAAAAACTCTTCTGCGTATGAAAATTCTAAAAATATTAATTATGATAAAAATTTTGTTATTACAATAATATTATTATAATACTTACCATTATGAGCTAAATCGTAAATATCTTTTGTTATTACAAAATTATATATTTTATTATTACGGTCTTGAATTTCCAAATAAAACATTTTCGACTTTGCAGATTATGATGGGTTCGGAACATTTCTCGGTTTAGTTACATGGTAACCATCTAGAAAAACATCTAGAAAAAAAATAAACTAAATTATCACCGTTCGGAATATATCCAATATAGATTGCGTTTCAATATTCGCTACCAGTACTAAAAATATATAGTTCAGATTACATATATTATAGATTTTCAGTACTGGCAGTGAATATCGGAACACAGCCATAAATAAGAATACTTGAAAAGGATACTTTATGCTCCATCCATATGTTCTTAAGCTTTGTGTTCATGATACTAGAAATCAATCAGAGATTTCGGACAGAAAGAGAATTGACCAATCGCATTGGCCAATTGTCCGAATTTATTCAAATGTAATTGGTCAATTCTTTCTTCGTCCGAAATCTCCGATTTCTAGTATCGTGCTTAGGGAGGATTCACACCTTGACAGAAAAAACAGAAAACAAAAAACCAATCAGAAACTTGCATTAGTAGTCACAGAATATACTCTTTATTACCGCGTGAGTTCTGATTGGCTTCTGTTGATTTCTGATTGGTTCTGCTTTTCTAATTTCTACTTTTTTGTTTTCTCCTTTTCTCAAGGTGTGAATCCTCCCTTACACAAGGCTTTACATTCATAGTTTGTTTTAATGTGGTATAGAATTTCCTGAGTTTGATTGTTTGCGGAAAACTCGCACGGCGCGACGAAATCAAGTTCGTTCCGGCTAATTTGTCGGGAACGAGGGAAGCATCGGACGCGCGCATGGCGGTGTGACTCTCTTCGTTACTGCTCGTCACGATCAGTCACGATTAGTGTTTACCTATTTACCTATTTATCCTGCGCTACGATTAATTTGGCACGTCGAGATCGTCGCGGTGAAATTTTTCACACGCGACACGTGAAACGGCGTCGAGGGAAGCGCTGTTGTTGCAACTTGCAACGCGATTTTACCTCCCTCTTTCCGATGGAGATGCTCTAGCTAACAGATCCCGGTTGATCCCGGTCAACGTCCGTTGCGATACGATGGAGTTAACGTCGTTGCTGAAATCTGCGCTAAGTCTTTGCCAGTGTCACGCTCGCGTTATCGTATCATAAAATGGTAAGGACCTCCCTCCTCACGGCAAGATGATTTTGTCGTAAAAATAGAGATATGAATGGAGCAATTATCAATCGCACGTAACTATGACTAATATCTCACTTTTACGTGCACGCTTCGTATTGCTATAATCTTGATTCTTTCGCAAATTAAAATCTCATAATCATTGTGTTATAAAAATATATGTATTATTTCATGAGGATTATAAGCAAAGAAAGTAAAAATACATCGGTGTATCAGTCATATTTCTATATAAGTTTGATTATAATTTCTAGTAGCTAAATGTATAGTTATTTATGTGCACGCGCGTACTACACACACACACACACACACATACCCAACACACATACACATACAGTAAAATGACAATCTTTTTAATGGATATGATCATATCTATTGTATTATCAATTCTTATCTTTATATACTTGTTTGATAAAATAAGTTATCTTAAATATTTAATACATATAAATACACACATATATATATATATATATATATATATATATTTTGTATGTATATATATTTTGTTATGTAATGTCACATACATGGTATGACAAGTATCAAACAACATACAACACTGTTATATATAATTATTTACAATCACAGGGTACAACTATATCACAATTGGAACGAGATATTGGCTCTGATCAGTTTCCACCTAATGAACATTATTTTGGTTTAGTCAATGTAAGTGTAATAGTGTAATTCAGATGAAATTGTCTTAGCAAAATTATTTTAGAAATTGACTAGACTTTGAATTCATGTCTTTCATAATGAAAATGTATTTTTGCAGTTTGGTAACACTTGTTATAGCAACTCAGTGTTACAAGCTTTATATTTTTGTCGACCATTTAGAGAAAAAGTATTGGAATACAAAGCTAGAAATAAACGAACTAAAGAGACACTACTAACATGTCTGGCAGATCTATTTTACAGTATTGCAACTCAAAAGAAAAAAGTAGGTTCTATCGCACCAAAAAAATTTATTGCCAGATTGAGAAAAGAGAAAGGTTGATATAACATGTTCAAACAAAGATATAAATTTATATTTTTATACAATAATATTATAACTTTAATCTTTTTACAGAGGAATTTGATAATTACATGCAACAAGATGCACACGAATTTTTGAATTTTCTTATAAATCACATAAATGAAATTATTCTGGGTAAGTATTTGTTTATCACTTTCAATAAAATTTATAGCATCATATTTATGGTTGTGATTTTACACATTAGCGGAGAGAACTCAAAGTAAACCAACTGGAGGAAAATGTGGGGCAGGGGATGCTGCAGGTTCGCCACCAGAGCCTACATGGGTTCACGAGATATTCCAAGGAATATTGACGTCGGAAACACGCTGCCTTAACTGTGAGACTGTTTCTAGCAAAGACGAGGACTTCTTCGATCTGCAAGTTGATGTAGATCAAAATACTTCGATTACACACTGCCTCAGATGTTTCTCCAATACAGAGACCCTATGTAGTGACAACAAATTTAAATGCGATCACTGCAGCAGTTATCAGGAAGCTCAGGTATTAATAATTTAATGTGATTTATTATGTTTGATTTACTATTAATTTACTTTAAATAAATTATTAAATAAATTATTTATTATCAAAATATGTTTTAAATTACAGAAACGAATGAGAGTAAAGAAACTACCTATGATACTAGCATTGCATTTAAAGAGATTTAAATATGTGGAACAGTACAATCGTCACATAAAAGTATCTCACAGGGTAGTTTTTCCATTGGAGCTCAGACTTTTCAATACTGTTAGTATTTACAATACTATTTATAAATATGATAATGTATAAATATATTGTTTTAAATAGTTATCAAATTAAAGTTATCAAATTAACTGATTCATTGATCAAATATAATATATAACTATTTTAATTATAGAGTGATGATGCTGTAAACCCAGATCGTTTGTACGATCTGGTGGCAGTTGTGATACATTGTGGAAGTGGGCCTAACCGAGGGCATTACATTTCTATAGTTAAAAGTCATGGATTCTGGTTGCTCTTTGATGATGATATGGTCGATGTAAGTGTTTTTCTCTTTAAATCCTATTTAAAAAGTATACTAATAATGTCTTCATACTTTTAGAAAATTGATGCGTCAACTATAGAAGATTTTTATGGACTTACGTCAGATATTCAGAAGAGTTCTGAAACTGGTTATATCCTGTTCTATCAATCGCGAGATTGTAGTTAAAGTTTAATATAAATAGCAATTGAAGTTAAGCACTCTACGCTAATTTCATATTTTAATAAAGTGCGCCGTGCATGTGAACTTTGAATGTTCTAATGGTTTATCAGATTATTTATGAGAATGATATACAATGTTTGATAATGTTTTGGCGCGTAGAGTATATAGAAAGAGAAGAAAAATGTAGTTTCGTAGTTTTTCGAAAATTCGATAGGATTTTTGATTTGTACATAAGCCGTATATAATTATTTGAAAAAAATTGAAAACAGTTTATACCATATGATGCTTTATGCTTATGTTCAAAAGCTAATCTGTCTTTTGAAGATGGATAATTTACATTATTACAATAACTTCCATGTCCATTGATATAGAAAAAAAAAACGTTGGAAGCACTATCAGATTCTATACAAATGTAAAAAAGATATGACTGAGAATAAAAAAATTGTTATGAAGGTATGCATTATGTCTGTTATTGCAGGCAATCTGTCATTAAATACTACACATATTTAACAATACAGCGTAATTAAAATAAATTGCCAAACATCTGTATTTTATAAGTAGCAATGGTGTATTTGTAGAGCAACATTATTCTGCCTAATTATATGAACTGTTAAACTAAATTATATAAGATCAAGAATAATCAACAAATTTTTATTTTGAAAATTTTAGTTTATTTAATCTTTTAAGCGATAAATTCATATGGAACAGGCGCAAGTAAGATCGGTGCTTCACGTCCTGATACAATGTGTGCTTTGGAAGGTTCAGCTGGTTGTCTCTTTAGTTGAACACGAACGTTCGTCTGCTTTGCTTCCTTTCTGAGTCTTTCATTTTCCTTCACGCGCTTAAGAAAATCATCCCTACATTTTGAATGGCTCAAATGTTCGATGCGTACATTAATTCTCTTGGCGATGATGCGTCCGCGTACTCTCTTATTTACGATCACTCCCAAAGCATGTGCCGTTACATTGAATACACGACCTGTCTTGCCATGATAGACTTTGTATGGCATACCCTTCTGTACGGCACCATTTCCCTTGATATCTACGATATCACCGACCTTGTATGTCTTCATATATGTGGACAAGGGAATAGTTCCATGCTTGCGGAACTTGCGAGAGAATAAGTCCCTTGTGCCACGTCTATAACCTTTCGAATTAGTCATGGCGATGAATTAATCTAATAAAAGAAAAAGATTATATGTGCAATTACAGTAACAAAATTATGAACAAAGTATAAAATTAAAAATTTTTTCCTTAATTTTTTTCCTTAATAAGAAAATTTCTATTGAGCAAATTTGAAAAAATAATTAAATAAGTATTGTAAAAAGATTGCTATAAAAAAATACTTTTTTGAAATTTGACTTTAGGCTTTTATGGCGGCTGTCTTCATCATATAAAAACCTAACCTAAGAAATCCCGAAATTTTTTGCATGAATCGAATAAAAGTAATAATATTACATTTTGCGTCATGTATGATAATTCATATGACGAAAAATATAACTTGTCTATGAAAAACGTTGTTATCCGAGAAATTTTTGCGTACAATACGTAAAGTGTAATGCACGTGGCTCAAGGCGAGTAAAATTATTCAAGTAAATTCTAATGTTTCATGTTTTCCAATCGATCTGAAAGTGACTATATAACAGTAAATAAAAATATGTACCTATTTTTGATATACACGAAAGAAGGATATTTCGATTCGGCATAAATTTCGAAGAATTATATCGAAATACTGACAAACGTATACAGAGAACTCACATCCACCGTCGTCACCACGGAAAAAGAGATAACCTAGAGCCGTACCACCATGTGACACGTCTCGATTCATATGTCGAATTGATATGTCGGAGCAAATATGACGTCATCACAAAAAACTGATATTTTATTTGTCGACAAATATTTTGAATATAGGCGAGTTTTTTAATCACATTATGCGCAAATGCAACTTTGCTCTATAAAAGCAGCATTTGCGCATTATGCGATTAATCAATCAATAAATTAAAAAACTCGTCTTATATTGATTAGTTACAAAATAGAGATTTTCTAGAGATTTAATATGTTTATTATTTGCATTCCACTTAACGCTTGTAACATTTCAAAATCATTTCATTTTTGTTATTCATCAAATATTAAAGAAGAATAAATGCGAGCGTTGTCTGCGTTAAATGAAACAGCCAAAATAAGCTTTTATATTATTTTATCATTATATATTATATGTTATATCAAATTGGTTTTTAGTCTCGGTTTACAATAGGTAATTTAAGCCTTAAGCCCTAAAAAATGTACGAATCATAGTCGAAAAATAGAAGAATAATCGACTATGTAATAATCGACTAATTGGGCTGCGTTCGGAAATACACACTAGTGTGCCACTAAACACACCGGTCGTTCGGAAAATTTGTGTGTACTCGTGTACATTCGGCTGAGATCGTTCGGAAACATCGAAAAAGATCACACCGTGTGCCACAAAACTACTCATTGAAAAAGCAGGAGGAATCGGTGTTTTGTTAAAGTTTGATTCAATAACTTGTCATAAACCTCAAAAAAAATAGTCAGTGTTTGATCGTTGAGTGGATAGGACATTTTTTGTCCATACATAAATTTTTGTGTTGTGTAATGCAATTTTTTAAGGATAAAGAGAAAGACAGTACAGAAGAATATACATAAATTTATAAAGAAAGATATAAGCACGAACAAAATAAGAAAAAAGAGAAGATAAAGGACCTGTATCATATACCATGGGATTGAAGACACATAGGGCCAATTGTTCCAACTTTTTGATAAAATCATAATGATGGTTGGCTATTCCATAGGTAAAATATACCTATCACTTAACCAGTAAGTTTGATTCAATCCATTATTCCATGACTAAAAATACTCGTTGGGTAATAACCTAATAGGTAAGTATGAAATTATTCGCTTATATATACTTCCGCTTCGTATAATGCTAACTTCATATGATTGAAAAGGTAAAGTTAATTTATATTATTTCGAAAATCAAAATTGGTAAAAAGTACAAAATTGACAAAAGTTATAATTTCTGTTATAAAATACAGTTTTTAAATACAGAGATAACTTAAAAGTAAGCTAGAAATCACATACAACAGAAACTATCAAGCTGTTTTAAAGATGTGCATAAGAAAACGTTTAAAAGAAATAGAAATAGGCGTCTTTTAGACATCTTTAAGATATGTTTTAATATTATGTGAGTCTAAGATATTTCTTTGTAATTTTTTATATTTATTTTATATTATAGAACATATTCTAATCCTATATAAAAATTAATTTTTAGCTAATAAAAATGCAAGAGTCGGCTAAAGAATGTAGAAGCGTTAATTTTACAAAAGAAATGTTAATGTTAATTTTAACAGAAATCGTAAAAAAATATAAGCATAAAATAAATAAATAAATAAATAAAGCAATAAATAAAGCTATAAATAATAAATAATAATAACAACAACAATAATAATAATAATTATAAGTAATAAATTCCATTGCATCATATTTAAAAAATCAGGCCGTGGCCGAACAGTATATGATTTGCGAATTAAATTTAATATTTCATAATCTTCAGAATCTTCATCGTCATCTTCAAACAATTCTTTATATAT